ACTGCTTGGATGTCGGTCTTTAGTCCTTTCAAGAAGTTCCTTTCCAGCCCTGCTACAGAAATACCCCTCAACTTCCCTGACAAGAGCTCGAAATTCTTCCGATATTTTGTATCAGTTCCCTCCCAAGTCAGAGCATTGAATTGCTCAGTCATGTCTCCTTCACGAATGACTCAGAAACACTCCAACAAGCAATCCTTACACTCCTCCCATGAGTGCATCAGATACCTTGATTCCATTTATTGAAGCTAAAGTCTTCTCCTTCAAGCATAATCTCGTTGTCATGAGCTTCTCTTCTTAGTTAACCCATTGATTGTAATGTACCACTCCACCCGATACACCCACCTATGTGCATCATCCCTTTCAAAGATTGATATCTTCAATTTTCTGACCCTTGCATCTCCACTCCAACCTTCTTATTCTCCGGTATTTTCCCCATGTATCTAGGCTGGAACTCCCTCTTTCAGTCATAGGCATGCCCAACTCCTGAATCCCTCCTTCCTCCATCGTGCTCTTCCGTGCCCCTCACACCATCCCTCCAATTTTCGACCCATGCCCCTCGATTAGAAGTCTCCACTCCCCTCCTGTTAGAGTCCTAGGGGGATGCTCTTGTAGGTAGATAATGTCTTCTTCGTTGTCTTTTCGCTCGATCTCCTTCTCTATTGACCTGGCCAAAAATTCCATGATCAACACTTGGTTAGGGCTTGTAATTGGAGCGATTGACACGGCCTTGGATTACATCTCCATGAATCTTTTCATGATATTTTGCATTTCTCTTATGCTCTCAAATCCATTCTCCATTCGACTTTCAATGAAAGAAAACCCGTCCTCCATAGTGGTGAAACTCTCTTCCATTTTCAATCCGATTTGCCATACATCTCCCTCTAACACATTCACTTTCTTTGCTGCCATCCCAAGTTCTACGCTCTGATACCAATTTGATACGCTTCGGAACCAAAATCAACAAACAAAACACGACGAAACAAAAATAGATAGGTGGAAAAAATGCAAACAATGGTTGCTCTTACAAAAATTAAAACAAAAATAAGCAAGATACAAAGATGATCTAATTTTGGAGAGATAGATCGCTCTCTCACACCCTAGACGTTGCTAGGAACACTACAAGAAGAAAGAAAGCGGAAGCTAAATAAAAACATGCATAAAAAAAAATCCCTAAGTTTCCCCCCTAAATAGAAGCATCCCACAGCATTTGAAAACTTTCTTTACCAAACTTTCCCTCCAACTCTTTGATTCATCCTCCTTGAGTATGTGATTAAGGCCCTAGTGGACCCCACTTGCTTCCCTCCTCCAACCCCCACCCCCCACCCTCCTCTCCTCTTCAGTTGCGGCAATCGGCAACTCGACCTCTTCTCGTGACAAGGACCGGTCCATCTGTTGAGGGAGCAGGCCAGTTGGGTGGTTTTCGACCGGTCTAGGAGAGACCAATCCTGTTACGCTTGTTACAAGTGTTAACAATTATAAACAAAAATATCAGTTTCTTCAACAAGGTGTAGAGCATATGTACTCTAAGAAATTACTACTTTTTTTGTTTATGCAAACTCAATGTCAGGATAGTGTTTCGGAACCACGCATGTTTTTTATAAATATCTTCTACATATATTGTTTTATTTCAATAATGCTTGATACATCACTTCCAACGAGGAGGGTGCCATCAAAACATACAACCATCAATCGTATTACTTCGTAGTTCAAAGGCAATAAGAATTTTTTAAAATTTGTAGAACAAACCAAACGAAATTTGTTTGAATCCATAATTAGCTTTTCAAAGCTTGTAAAGTTTATTATCCCCCTAAGAAAAATACCCATGGGATTGCTCTATATACATTATTTCAATAAGATCCACAGAGAAAGACATAACTAATATTCATTTATGCAATAAATAAATCACTTAATTAATGGCAATAGATACAAACGAAATTCAGTCAAAAATTGACCAAAAAGTCTTAAAAATAGTCAATATTATGAATTTGAATATATCATTTCTTGCTAAGCAAGCTTTGCCGCAATAGCTAGAGTCATATGGATGAGTCTTAAAAGTGAATACTCATCCACAAGAAATAAATTTCAACCCTAACGAGAGATGTAACCAATGCCAATGTTTGATGATCAAGAAGAGTATTCTTCCCAATTTCCATGGTCTGCTTCTAAATGAGGTCAAGCATGGCTCCTTGGTATGTCAAATAAGCAAAAGAAGAATAGAGATGATCAAAAGGGCATAAACGAAAATATAGATCTAATGGCTTTGTAGTGATGAAATGTTCCAACGTAGCCAAGGTGATGAAAGGAGCTATAAAAGGACATGGCCGAGGTCGAATAGTATAAAACTATAAGAAAAGATGCGAGTAATGGGCCAAAAAGACGTAGAGGTACAGCCAAAGATCAAGTTTTGAGAATAAGGTGGGAGTTAAGGGGCTGTCTTATGAAAGTTAACATTGACAAAGGCATACACTTACCAATGAAAGGATTTAAAAAATAACCAAAAAAAAAACGTCAAATAGCATAAGAATATGCTTTGTCACAACCTGTGTAAAGGGGATGGGCAAAACGCATACAATCAGAAATACGAGGAGTTTAGTGAAAATATTTATCAGGATGACTGAAAAAGAAGAAAGAGATGTTGTTGAGAACCATAATAACACATTATTGATTATGTGACATGTAGTAAAAATGGCATTCCTTAAAAATTGGCGAAGAGCATGAATGTAAACATTAAGGTGCCAGCAATGGCTGCGCTTATGTTTAATAATACCATTTTAATGAGATATACATTTATATGAAAATGATGATTTATGCAAGCCAATCTCGACACAAGAAAATGAAAAACTGATTACATGAATCCAAGCACGTAATCGATATAAATTTTTTTGTTATTTGGACAAAAAACGATATTTCAAATTTTCGATAAGATACTTTGAATACAATTAAGACCTCAAATTGAAATTTTAACAAGTAAATTCAAAAAAGGGACAATATGATGTTTGTCAAATTCATAGGCATGACATCTAAATTTGGAACAAAATATGATAAGAGAAACTCCGAAGATGGTGAGGTGGTTGATCAAATCTATAGTTCCATTTATACAAAAAAATTGCAAGCAAGGTAGTGGAATCAATAACATAGAGATAATGAATATTGTTAATTCGAACATCTCCATTTTTTTTCCTCATGTTGAGATCTTGAAGGACATAATGGGTAGAGAAAAAGTGATGGAGTGCTTTTGAGTTTTGTTCGGATATTGTATAAATAAAAGGCTGACAACACATTTATGGAACAAGAAATACATTATAAAATTAAGAGGAAAGACATTCTTTTTCTGAGATTGGTAGAGTATCCTTGGCATAAATAACAAGTAAGAGAGAGTTAAAAGGTTGAGAACAATTTTTAATTACATGTTATATTGTAGTAAACAAAAAAATGTAAGGTCCAAGGAATGCGTATAAAGAGACCATCGCAACAATATCATAAGAAAAGACCGCAAGGTGCTTGGACAGATGGCAGAGTTTATTGAAGCAATTGACCACAATCATCATGAGACTAATAGAATTGAAATTAGTGGCACCACAAAAATGAAGCCATATGTAAATTTGTATTGAGAAAATAGATAAATAAATGAAATTCTCGCAACAAGCAAGAGAAGCAGAAGCCATGACACTTGAAGAAAAGAGAAACGAGACATGATGATATTAATGAAAAGTTCAGGACTAAACTTGGCACTCACATTCCTAAGATTAATTCTTTTGTGGAGGCAAACGCTGATGATGGTGGTTCCATGTCAAAATAGATGCTCACATCCGTGGAAAATAACACAGTGCAAAATAACAAGCTATAATGGTACTAAATTAGAGGACCCTCAGATTTGAATAGGACATTCAACTACACGGTGACTATTAAAAGAATAACTTCACTTTCTCCGAAATAAGATAGTCAAGACATAGGCAGCAAAGAGGGTGCACTACAAGTGGGATATGTGATGTGAGAGGGCGAGTGACCAAAATCATGTTCAATTGCAAAAGTTAGACACATTGGAGTAAGCAAGGTTTAGTGTATTATCAATGGCAGCCGGTGCAACAAACTAGTGTGTTTAAATGTACTTATGAGAGCAGGTCGGGTTGTGGAAGTGAGTTAGAGTAGCAAAGCATAATTGAGCACACACACAATAACTTATGAGAGCAGGTCGGGTTGTGGAAGTGAGTTAGCAAAGCATAATTGAGCGCACACACAATAGCATTGAGTAGAGGGAGTAGGAGATCGGGAAGCACTGCGGATAGGGCTACGGAAGCAAGAGAATGAATGATCATGAGGAGGGAACCTAGACGAAAGGCGGCTCCGTTATTGAATTGGGATGGGAGGTTAAAAGAGCATGATGAGAACTTCCTCGGATATCATGTTAAATAAGAGGAAATTCCTATAGAACTTACGACTAAAACAGAAGCCAATATGCAAAGCATACAAGCCAAGCACATGATTCAAAAATCTAGTAAAGAGCTTTCTAACAACTTCCATTCTTGTTAATTTTCTATAAAAATAGATATAATTAGAAAGCACCTCACCATAAAATATTGTTATGTTTCAATAAAAACAGTTACAATCAGAAAATTAATGTTGATTTTAAAACCTACAAACCCATTAAAGAAACCTCAAATATCATGAGTTTATAATCACGGATGGGCCCACTTGAAGTTAAAAAATATTTTTTAAGTTGAAAATTTATCAGATTTTGTCATTACAATTGGATGCATTTAGATATCAAATATTTATTTTAAACATTACAAACATCTTCACTCCTTCAAATAAAATGATTTAAATTTCACAACGCTACAAACACTTGAACATTTTTGAAGACAAGTTTTCTACCTACTGACAGCCAATAAGCCATTAAAATGACTGAAGAAGATGAAAGCATTTTCTAAAACATATTCTGAAGCTACAAGAAACCAAATCAGCTTTAGCACTCCAACAAGATTGAATTAAGAATTACTTACAAGCAAGCTCATCATACTCATCTTTGCCCACTACATAGATGCAGATATCCCCAAGCATAGTGTAAACTATGTATACAGACCTGGAAATAGAATATTTAACAAATAAAAGAAATGAAATATCAGCATAAGAAAAAAAAAGATAAAATCACAAAGCAGGAGAAACACTATGGAAAATCAAACAATTATGTAAGGTTTCGTGACCAACACTTTATGCAGATGGCGCATGTCAAATGAAGAGGAATGATGAGAAACAGCTTATATTTCCTAAGATGGTGCCATTAACCGCATAAGAAAATTGGAGACAGTGGATGAGCATGATTAAAAGGTAAATATTTCATAAAAAAATTCAAATTAATTCTAAAGTTCAACAGAAAGCAAAACCACTGCCTCCCAATCATAATGAAGCAAATCAACATGTATTTATAATTTTATCAAAACTTGCACTTTTGGTATAAAGAACTATAATGTGTATGGCTTAGAGAAAGTGTTGAAGGTTTTCAATGACAATATTGGGGAGTGGATGTAAAATGCATTTCCTAATTCACCCAACTAAAATATCCGGTACCTTCTCTTTCCTTCAATTGATTCTAAATCTATAAATTATAAAGTTGTTAGCACATTGCCCGCAACGGCTTCATGAAACTTCTAAGCAGTCTATGTAGAAATTATTAGCATGATGGTAATACCACACCAAACATCATCGTTAGTCTTATCCGAGTATTTATAATAAGTTATATGAATCCTCATCCTCTATTTGTCCTCATTAAGTGGTGTTTAAGATATTAAACATATTCTTTATAAGATGACTATAAACAACTTCTATTCATATCATGTTAGGTCAACTCCTACTTTCTAATAATCTCAGACTAAATTTATTTACCCACCTAATGTGTGCATTTTCTATCATTTATTATACACTTAATTATATTTTTTATTATCTTCTATCCAAAAACTATCACTGCAATCATTAATCTAATATCAATCATTAATTTACACGTCAAAAATTTGTCAGACTTCTTGCTTAACATTCTCATTTATTTCGTGTTCAACTTATATCAGCAACTTGTTCTCTCCCTTAAACTCAATCGGTAGAAGGTGCTCCAACTAAGGCTTTGGAGAATCCAATAAAGGGGTAGCAGTGAGTTAGAGAGATGAGAATTTAGACGAACGAATTCCTCAAAGGGATGGAGGCAAAGGGACAGGGATGAAGTAGCAAGAAGGAAGCCTAAAAGGAGGAGAATCCCCAAAGGTGAGGAAACGGCAAAACCCAAATCTTAATTGAAATTCATCATCGAATAGGCCATAATCCTCCTACTAAAAAACTAGAGCACTTTCTAACGACTGGCAACTTAAATACCTACCTAAAATGTATTATAATGTCAATAAATAAAATAAAGAAAACAATATGTCCTGATTATATAGATTATAAACATGTTTAAGATGTGCTTATAAATTGAGGCTATGATGAATAATACTTTACTACATCAAAGTGTAAATACATCTTATCTAGCCAGTCCAGGACAAAAAGAGTTGTCAAAGATAATTTTATTCATTCTCTACATCTAAACTTCATTACAAGTTTCAAGGTCTAAGAAAGAAGAAAGTAGAAAGCTTGAAACAGGCTTTATGACTTCAGGAAATGCTAATCATGAAGATCAGATAAGTAAATTAAGGCATTTAACATGAAAAGTTTAACATGAGAGGATATAGAACCAAACTTGTGAGAAGCAACAAAAAGTTCCTCATTTTTAGCTCCTTTGAGATTTTCAGCTCCGAGCTTTACCAGGAAAGATCGCCAATGTAACCTCTCCTCTGCAGGAACTCCGTGAAAACTACAATATAATGAAAAGCAAACTGTATTATTCCTTTAAAAATAATTGAAAAATTTATCAAATTCAGAATTTTAGGCAAAAAAATATCAGAATTCGGGGCAAAAAAAATATCAGAATTCAGGGCTACTTGGTAAAGCTTTATATTTAATGCATTGTGATCCAAAAAAAATAAGGCAATGGTTGGTTAGGTTCTAAACTAAAAACACTGTTTCTCAAATAGCATGGTATGATTTTGTTGTTTTTGAAAATGACAATAAATTTGGTACAGAGGAGGGACACTCCAAAAGCCTGGATAACATTCAAGCCGATTTGTAATCAAACATAACAAAAAATTGTTAATATACAATTTTTTGCTTGAACAAATTTGCTATGAAGCATGAAGAATGCACGTGAAAATAAGGAATACCACAATATTTGTAAAAAAAAATTTGGGGATATATCATCTCCAAAATTTAATAAGAAATAAGAACAAACAAACATAATAATAATAATAATAATAATAATAATAATATAATAAAATAAAAAATCCTCAAGCAATTGATATTGAATCCTGAAGAAGTGGAGCACCAATTTGTAGACTTGAAATGAGCTCATAAGCTTATGGTGCAATTCAATCCTTTTGTTCTTTTGACGCAACATAAACAAGAGCATTAAACAACACTAAGTTTCAGAGGCAAGTTAAAGTAAGGTCCTAGAATTTTAATTTGGCCAGTTGAATGGTCTGACATGTACTTATTTTAATTCTAAGGGATCCACATATCCCGTGGATGCAAACTCCTATAGTTAATTACTTCTACAAACCAATTCCCAAGAACAATATCAATTAAGGATATATTATGCTATGAATTACTAGTTGGAGATCAGTTTATGTTTTTTGGGAGAATGGATAGGAAAAATAATTCAACTAAATCAAAATTGCATGATTTCTTCATCTGAGATTAACTTGGCAAAGTGTTGGACGGCCACATCATCTTAAGAATCTAATTAACAATCATTGGTTGCCTCATATCAAATATCTCGAATACACCGGAAAAAAAATATGTCAAAAGGAGTATCCCTATAAATTGAGGCCTAAAGTATATTTTGAATAGAAAATGCCTAAGAAGACTAGTATGGCCAAATGTGATTTAAAATTCCAAGGTGTGACTACTAAAGGCCTTAATCTGTCGATACCAATGTTAACACAGAGACACAATGCATGGTTGAGTACAATCAAAGGAATTAATATGTCTCTCGATCAAAAAAATTAGCATAGCCAATTCAATTGTCTAAAAATAGGTGAAACCACCTAGGGATAATACATCGTAAGGACACAGAGTCAGGGTTATATGCTATAGGGCATGGGCGTCTTTGCTCCAGGGCTCAAGGGTCCACCCCTTGTTGTAAATGTTAATACTCAAATTTAAAGAGGACAATCAACATGGGTAGAAAATGATTGTCAGTGATAAGGACCAAAGTAGGAGCGTCTTCTAGTTGGCGTATTGAAATGGCATGATTCTAGGAGTTAAGAAAAAAAGAATGATTTCAATCTTAATCAAAAGAGAAAAAAAAATGCTAGAGTGGATAAATAAAGATTTAACACAAGGCACCTTATGGTATAACAAGTGAACCTCCCATAAAAGTTACAGATTTAAGCGCACTCTTAATACAAGACTGCTAATATGGGTGATCTTCTGGGCAATCACATGAAAAATAATAAATTTGGGAAGTACAATAAAAACAAATCAAGTTGCAATACCCAGTTTGAAAAGAGCAACCTACCTAAGTGACTAATAATGGGAGGGGTTGGAACCTGAACAAAGAACATGTCCTAAATATTTTGATGAACCGACTTAATATATGAGTCGATGTATTGAACAAGAATGAAGTTGATTTGAGAGCTTGGCCCAGATGAACTTAGCAAGTTATAGATTGAATTACATGTAAAATTGTCAGCACCAAACAAAGTTAATGTTATGCTAGAGCAAATTTGATGCAAGGTTCAAGCAAATTTAATATGAATTCAATTGGATGAGATCCATTCCAAGAAACTTTAAGTGAGCTCGAGATCAAGTCACATTAAGCCTTACATAGGTTGGGTTGAACCCAACTTGGGAGGCCAAGGTTTCATCAACCTTTTCTAAATTTGACCATAGTTAAATTAACCTTGAGAAAACCAATTAAATGCTCGCAACTAATAATCTAAATTGGAAACAGTGGATGAACAACGTGTTCTTGTTCGTCTCGATTTAAATGTTCTTGTTCGTGTTCGGCTAGACATTGGCTAGTTAAATTTATTTGAAAAAAATTGATGTTGGGTGTTGGATTGAACCTACACCAAATCTGTGCAATTGAAGATGCAGAACCACATTGCCACACGAGTTTTTATATATAATATAGCTATATAAATAAAATATATAGTTTCTTTATTTCGAGCTAAAACGGGTTGAACATGAGTGAACAAATTGTTGTTCGTTTTTTACTCGTTTACTTAACGAACGATACTTAACGAACGAGCAGAACACAAGCTACTTAACAAGCCAAACACGAGCTGTTCGCGAACAATGAGTTTTTCTGACAGCCCTATGCATCTGAATGGTTTGATAAATGTTAGATCGAGCAATAAATGCTTTTAATCTCTAGTGAATGACTTCCAACGAACTCAAGTGAAACGAGCTAGCTCGCATAAAACCCTCTTAAAATCAGCAACTTATAAGGAAAATCAAATTTGTTATTTAAAAATTAGGTTTCCTGATAAGAGAGAGTAATGTCAATAGAAAAAGAGAGATTAAGTCTTTTTTTGTTTAATAACTAGGTTTTATATTAAGAAACTCACGGGAGGGGAGAGAACGCACAGTGGGAGAGAGAGAATGTGAAAAGAGAGTAAAACATAAGAAATTTTTTTTTTTTTCATGGATAAAACTGCATTATATTGATGAAATTAAGGTAAAAAACATAAAGAAACCAATGAAAATGAAAAAAAAAAAAGTATGTTTGAACCAAGTCAGTGCAACTTATGTTGCAAAATAGTGAATTTCAATTATAAATACAAAATAAATAAAAATATATCAATGCATCAAATCCTCAAACTAATATTATTGAATCCTCAAGAAATCAAGTAATGAATAATCAAGGAAAGAAACTAGAAAACCAAAACAAGAGCTGCAGGAATTTTTCATTGAACTGCTCCTAGCATGGTTTTTAAATGCATAAAATGCTATTTATAAAATTAGACTGTCAACTACAAGTCCAAATTACCTTTAAAACTGATTATAAGATAATTTTCATGAAAATAAGGACTGAACATAAAAATGATTAATATATAATAAATTAAAAATTCATAACATGAATAAAATCTAATCTATCAAGATCAACATTAATTGAATGACAGATTACATCAACATGTGCAAGATTTAACATATTTACAGCATCCATCTATAAATATGATCAGATATAGCATAAACAAAAGTCACAAACATAAAACTATGTATTAAGATAAGCATGGAATGAATCATCTTTGACTTAAGGTCCAACTCTATCATGGAATATATTAAGATAATTTTCATGAAAATAAGCATAGTTTTCTATTTATGGGAAATAAAGCATGGAATTTACATAAAAGATATTTAATATATGTTTTTAAAAAATAATGATACATTTCAACATCCCAAAATTATACAAGGCATGCATCATCTTTGACTTAAGGTCCAACTCTATCATGACTGAGTTTAGATCAAATAATCTACATCAAACATGAATGATGCGGGAGCACAGTTACGGTGTCAATGAAATATCTAACTGTCCAAGAAGTACAAATACAAATAAAATGCCACTTTTAGCATACATACTTTGCCTCATATGCAACTTGTTTACATTGATTATTATGTATTAATAATTTCTTGAAAGCTAGTGCAAATCTATTCAAGGGAAATGGACTTGGACGGCCATGAAACTAAAAAAAGGAAGTTTAAGCGAAGGCATGTGGCTAGATTTTGCATATCAATGTTTCAGAAAAGTTCCTTAAAGAACCAAAAGAGCTTCTAAATAATTGAGAATATGAAGTAGCATTTTCAATCCTGTAATTTAAATTTTATAGTTAGAAACAAGCATGATACATTAAGTAGCACTAAGTATAAGAAAATATAATTATGGCAAAATGTCATGGCAATGTGGGCTGTGCATTAGCCCTTAGATCTTACTAAGATGTTGTAACCCCATAGTAGGCAAAACGCACTAATCATTCATATTTTTAGATGTACTTTAAATTTTACAGCTATAATATTTCATAGCAACAGAGAAAAGCCAAACTTCAACAATTAATAGCTCAGAAAATTTCATGCCTCTTTTATGAGTGGGTCATAGATTTATCCCCTTTCTTAAAATTCATATCGCGCCATCCATCAAGCAATCATTATTCCCCTGGCCACCACTGAAATAGAGCAAATCAACAACTACACATTCTCATCTATTTATCTAGCACCACCTTGGCGACATAGTGATCAGTGAACAAGTAAGCCTCCATCCCCCCCGCAGCTTTAAATAACCTCAGCTACTTCAGCTTGTACAAAATAATAGCAAAACTTTGAAGGCAACAGTATGAATTCATTCTTCAGCAGAAATGTTCCCTAAACTCTAATCTTCCATACCTATTAAAATTCTAACTAAACCAACAATGCTGACAGTTCTCAGCAGACAACAAAGACTTCAGCTTATTCCAAGACCATAGTACCATCCTCAGAGACAAACTTCCAGTAAGTTATCAGTAGTCAGTACATCACTAGGAATCTGATCATTTCAACAAGATCTAACCTCACTTCACTCAAAGGATTCATGCCGTTTTGCTAATTTATAATAGATAAACAGGTACTTTCTTAATCCTACATTAAAAATCGAACAAAAACACCCTAGCCCAAACCTCTCTCTTAAAAATTCCTCCAATAGCTTTATACAAAAAAAATGTAGAAGAATTTAACTGAATCATAAAATCATAAAACTATGGAAGACAGCGAAGTATGATCAGCTCGATCTTACAAGAAACGCCACGATTTAAGGGAAATTAAAACTTGTAACAACACAAAACCTGTGAGAATTGAATCCCTAAGAGCAGAGAAAGAGGGAAGCATTCAATAGTACCGTTCGATGAGAATATTTCCAGCGGTATTGGCGAATAGAACGGCGAGCAACATCGTCCGTCTCCCTCTCCGTCTCCGATCCACCGATCTCCTTCCGTTCAGCAAACAGGTCGTCTGCACAAACACGAAATAACACAGTAGGGGTGTAAGCGAACCGAACACGAAGTAAGAGAGAGAGAGAGCTTGTGTTGGGTTGGGTTAGTTCCAAATTTTGTTTGTTTGAAATAAGTTCGTGTTCGAAATTATTGGTGAAGTTACTGTTTGTGTTCGTTTCTTATTCGCGAACGACGAGCCAGTTTGACATCCTTAATATAACTATATATAAATATATTATTATTATTAATTACTAAATATATATTAATATATTATTATTATTATTATTATTAATTATTATCTATATTAATATATTACTAATAAATATATTAATATATTATTATTATTATTA